CCCCAAAACCCCAAAACCCCAAAACCCCAAAACCCCGTTCCTTACTTGAAGACTGAAGGAATAGTATTAAGTCCAATGAGATCTGATCGATAATATTAATATTCAATTCAGATATTAAAATGATGTTAGAAGCTGCATCCATGGTCGCCTTCTTCTCAGCATGAGTAGGCCTAGTTAAGAAGTTCTATACCCCACCAATGAAGAAGGAGAACAACAAGCTTGTTGAACTAGACAAGGAGACAATGATGTACCAGTACCACGACCTTGTATCAGTTATTTACTCAGGAATTCTCATTGCTCTTTTCATTACCAACTGTATTATTTCAGGACTCGATTTTGAGAGAAAAGGCAATAAAATCGAACAGACAATCGTTCTTTTAGGAATGGTATGGTACAGTTTTGACTTTGTGCTGAAGTATCTTGATGGAGTAAACAGCGTTTTCGTTTGGATCCATCATACTTGCACTATACTGTCCATGCTGGTTCTATATCAATCAGAGAACACTCTGTGCTTCGGAGCTACAGCACTGTTTACTAATGATTGCATTCATATCTTCCTTGTCATCTACAGGACATTTGAAAGGATGAACTTCCCATTTGATCACTACAAGTACAAAATTAACTTCATTTTGCTAACACTTTGATTTGTTGCTAGCAGAGTGATCGCAAATCACTTCCTGATTTACAAGTTAGCAATGACGTCAAACCCAAATATATTGATAATCATTGGAAACACTCCAATAGTTTGCTTCGGAACCATAATATCTATCAAACTCTTGAGCAAGATGTGGAAATTCATCCCTCACTGGTGTTCTCAACCAGATAAAGTACAGGAGATGGCAATTTGGAGCTCAATCAGATCTCTGTTTCAAAAGTACAAGAGCAAGGGAAAGTTTTCCAAGTCAGTTGACATTTGAGTGTACACTTCCTCAATAGTGATCCCTATTGCCTTAGCAGTGTACTCAAACTATTTTACTGAGGCTTTTTAATTCATGAATAATTTCTTCACAACACTCCGTTTTTACATTGCTTGGTTACTACGAATTTTAGATAGAGATTATCTAAATAATAGTTGGCTAAAACTAAATTTGTTGCTGACGCATTTGCAACTATATTTTAGTCTAAACACGGAAATACTATCTGCGTCATGGATAGAAATATATCTTTGTATGCTAAGCATGATGATGACTTGGAGATTAGGTTTAGAATGTCTTGCAGTTAGAGAAAAAATCATTTTGTGGTGAGAGAATATCTAAAACATCTCTAAATATCCAAATTTCGAAACATCACAAAATTTGAAAAACTCATATTTGCTAACTTCCTTATTTCCAATACTATCTCGTTGCAGAGGGGTTTTGGGGTTTTGGGGTTTTGGGGTTTTGGGGTTTTGGGG